ACATTAACCTTTGTGTACATCACATGAAACCTGTTTTTTTTCTCTCCATAAACTTGTACAATCTACTCTTTGTTTCTGAAGAAGTCCAGAAGTCTGTGTGGGGTCCCCTTAAGCATTTTATACTTACAGCAATCTTAATAAGATACCCAAGAGCCACATGTGATTAGCACTGACACACTGCACTATCAAACTGACCATGCAGCCCTACAGCAACCACTGTGAAAAACAAAACAAAGTACAGCTATAATAAAAAGATGTGCTAATAGTGATATAAATAATTATGACAATGATAAAAGATAACACAACTGTGCATGTATATGTGCCAGGTGAGTTTAGTTGCTTTATATGTTTTAATCCACTAAATTTCTACATACAGTACAACCTTAAGAGGTAGGTTTGTTCTATCTATCTATCCATCCATCCATCCATATTTCTTAAACTAGCTTAAAACATTTTTTTTAATGTTTACTTATTTTTGAGAAAGAGACAGAGAGACAAGAGTGTGAGCAGGGGAGGGGCAGAGAGAAAGAGAGACAGAATCTGAAGCAGGCTCCAGGCTCTGAGCTGTCAGCACAGAGACCGACGTGGGGCTCGAACTCAAGAACCGCGAGATCATGACCTGAGCCAAAGTCGGACACTTAATTGACTGGGTCACCCAGGCACCCCAATACTATCTACATTTTGAAAGGTTACATAATTTACCTTGGCAGAGCCAGAATTCTAGTCCAAACAGTCCAGTTCCAGAGTCAGTGGTCTTAACTGTTATGATATACTACCTTCCAGTAATAAGGGGCAGAGGGTTTTTTTTAATTTTTTTTTAAATGTTTACTTATTTTTGAGACAATGCGAGAGACAGAGTACAAGCAGCAGAGGGGCAGACAGAGGGAGACACAGAATCCGAAGCGGGCTCCAGGCTCTGAGCTGTCGTGTCGAACTCACAAACTGTAAGATCATGACCTGGGCTGAAGTCGGATGCTTAACTGACTGAGCCACTCAGGCACCCCTAATGGCAGAGGTTTTTTTGTTGTTTGTTATATTGCTTTTATTTTCTTTTCAAGTTTATTTATTTTGAGAGAGAGAGAGGAGAGAGAGGGAAAGAGAATCCCAAGCAGGGGATTTGACGTGGGGCTTGATCTCATGAAAAGTGAGATCATAACCTGAGTGAAACCATGAGTTGGATGCTTAATGGACTGAGCCACCCAGGCACTCCTTAAATTTATTATTAGTATTATCATTATTATTATTATTATTTTAGAGAGGGAGAGAGAATGCAAGCAGGGAGAGAGAGTCAGAAAGAGAGAGAATCCCAAATAGGCTCCACATTCAGCACAGAGCCCGATGCAGGGCTCGATTCCACTACCCTGGGATCATGACCTGAGCCGAAATCAAGAGTGACTCTCAACTGACTGGGCCAACCCAGGGCGCGCTGTTATACTGCTTTTAAATATATTTTCTTGACAAAATAAAAAGTTGGGGAACCTACATTTTCGCAATTAAAAAACTTAATAGTTGGTGAAATCTAAAGGCCTGAAGATCATCAGGTTCTGTGGCCAGTAGAGATCAAGAAAAATGAAAATCTGAGGAAATAACTGATGAAGCAAAATCTTGGAGGATGAGCTCCAGAACACAGAGTGCAGAAGACTAGGAGAGAAGGGCTGATGCTAGTTATAGGAGGAATTATAGCTATCTTCAGAGGTGCTGGTGAGGAGAGCTTATCTGTTAACTAGAATTCAAGGTCATCGAAGCTCAAAATAAGTCTGGTAGTAATAATTAGAAAGCTTAATAAATAAATAATGTAAAATAGTGAAGATTTGGAGGAATGGAAAAAGTAAATAAATCCAGGAATGGACTAACAGACTAGAATAACAGAGATGGTTTCAACACTAAATATCTTTAAGTCAAAGAATAAGTTTCATAGGAGTAAGGGAGTAGAAGATGTATAAACAAATATACAAGGTTGTGGTCAGAAAGTAGTATTTCTGAACTTAAGATCTCAAAGCCAGAGTAAAGACTCATTCATTGATGATGATACTAACCATTCATTATACACACAAAACAATTATACCTAGTCATAACAACCATTAATAAATATCCTATTACAGGGGTGCATGGGTGGCTCTGTTGGTTAAGCATTTGACTCTTGGTTTTGACTCAGGTCATAATCTCATGGTTCATCATGGTTCACAATCTCATGGTTCAAGCCCTACATCAGGTTCTGTGTTGGCAGTGTGGAGCCTGCTTGGGATTCTCTCTTTCCCTCTCTCTCTGCCCCTCCCCAACTTGTGTACATACACACTCTCTCTTTCTCAAAATAAACTTAAAATATAAATGAAACAAGATTTAAATTTTATTTTTCAAGATTTAGATGTATTTTTTAAAAAAACGTTTATGTTTGAGAGAGAGAGAGAGTGCACACGCATAGGAGTTGGGGAAGGGAAGAGAGAGAGGGACACACAGAATCTGAAGCAGACTGCAGGCTCTGAGCTGTCAGCATAGAGCCCAATGTAGGGCTTGAACTCACAAACCACAAGATCATGACCTGAGCCAAAATTGGATGCTTAACTGACTGAGCCACCCAAGTGTCCCTAAATTTATTTATTTTTTTTAATGTTTATTTATTTATTTTGAGACAGCGAGAGAGAGCGTGCACACGTGCCAACTGGCGACAGAGAATCCCAAGGAGGTCTGAACTGTGGGGCCGGATCCCATCAACTGTGATCATGACCCGAGCCAAAATTAAGAGTCAGACATTTAACCTACTGTGCCACCCAGGAGTCCCATAAGATTAAAATTTTGTTTAATGTTTATTTTTGAGAGAGAGAAAGAGAGAGACAGAGCGTGAGAGGTGGAGGGGCAGAGAGAGAAGGAGTCACAGAATCCGAAGTAGGCTCCAGGCTCTGAGCTTTCAGCACAGAGCCTGACGCGGGGCTTGAACTCACAGACTGTGAGATCATGACCTGAGCTGAAGTCAGACGCTTAACCGACTGAGCCACCCAGGTGCCCCAAGATTTAAATTTTAAGGTAAAAAGAATCTAAGAAACTATTCCCTATAATACACAGTAAGAATTTTATTGATTCGGTTAGGAACTATCTCCTTTTATAGATGAATGTAGTTCATGTAATGCATCTTCTCTAAATTTTAAGATGAAAGAAAGAAAGAAAGGAAGAAGAAAGAAAAAAAAGAGGCAGGAAGGAAGGAAGGAGGAAGGAAAAAGGAAGGAAGAAGAAAGGAAGATCAATGGATGAGAGACTTCTACTTACTATATTTCTTCTACTTGGAAATAGCAAATCAGCTATCTACATCAACTGCTCAGGGAACCCAGTCACAGAACTACATACTGTATAATTCCTTTTATATGAAGTTAAAGAACATTCAAAGCAAGGCAGAATAGTGGTGGTGGCAGCAGCGGCGGTGGTGGTGGTGGTGGTAGGGGGACCAACCATGGTTGGAAAGGACCAAAAGAAGCTCTATTGCTTAGGTGTTGGACACATGATTCTCTATATATTTATCTGTGCAGTGGTCACACCAAATTGCACCTTCGGCACCTCAGCATTTTACTATGCTGTATGTCTTAAATGAAGTATTTATTTTTTAATTCCTTTAAAGAAAAACTTCAGAAGCCTAAAGAATCTCACTCAACACAGCTTGTTTTGCCCTTGTCAAGACCACAAAGCCTTTAATTGAGAAACAAATATTTAGTGTCTCCAGGCCTTTCCTCCCTTCATTTCCCTCACTCCCAACACACTCCTACCGCAATCATCTCCCCAAGGGTATTTCTACATATGATCAGCAGAGATTATTAAAGATAACCCCTAACAGAACAGTCCAGAGGACAAGGATGTTTGAGAATATTAAATTCAGAATAAACAAACTTCAGGGTCCTTCTTTCACTAAACCAAAAGCAAGTTCCCAAAAAGAAATGGAAAGGAAATCCTAATGTAAACAACCTTTTGATCATCACTTTGTATATAACCTTCTATATTGCTCTAGCTCATGAACCTGTATCTAAGCATTTTCATAGAATTTCCAATGTAATTGGATTTTGAACAAGGTAAAACAATAGAAAATTGGTTTATCTAGATCTGAATTCAACTAACTCTCATACGGTTATTTTTTTTTAGTGAAAACCCATCACAGATATTAAAAATCAAAGAGTCTAGAGAACGAAAAGTTACTTTAAAAAATGGCTTCCTTTCCTCACTTTAAAATGAAAATAACAAGGGAAAAAATAAAGAATAAAACGTATTTATTACAACTAGCTGTTAACATTAAGTCACACAAAACGAAATACCGGACCATGATCAGTTCGTTGGTATTATATGTTAATAGTCAGGTGGAGCTCAGAACTGTACGGAGGCACCTTATTAAGATATCACACCACATACACAACACGCAGTCACCAAAGGCATTACTAGGGATATTTCACTTTGGTAAAAATAGGAAACAAAGTCATGTCAAGGCAGGTGTTGCAAGGAAGTGAAGCGGTCTCCTTCCACTCTTCAGTTTTTAAAAAGATATTAATAAAAATAAAATCTAAAGATCTTCACGGATACTTTAGCTTATAGTAGAAATCCTGCACCATATAAGTCGCTTTAAAGGTTTATATTCCTTTACACTTTCCTAGTTTTAGTTAACCGAAAAAAGAACTGATCATCTGCAGAAGGAACTGAAAGTATCGAAAGAAGGAATATCACGGGTCCTATCTAAGCTGCAAAAAACAAAACAAAACAAAACAAAACAAAACCCTCAGGGTTGCACAAAACTGCCGAGTGGCAAAGCTTAATTTAAGCAGTTCGTAGCTCAGGTATTTTAACTTAAAAACAAAAACAAAAACCTGGCTTGCAGGGGCGAGGGAACGGAGTTGGGCACCGCAGGGTAGACGGGGAGGGTGCTCTTAGAGGAGTATGCAATGCTAGGGCCAAGGTACCCAACCAGTTCCAGGAAGAAGGGGTCGTGACGAGAGCGGCCGAAGTAAAAAGCGACGAGAGGAGCAACTCACTTTTGAAAGGCACTTTCCGGTTACAAAGCACTCTCACATGCTTTACCTCATCGCACACAGTATCCTTTCTCCTGGCCTCCACCGTCTACAGATGTGAAGGGCCCAGCGTGTACGCAGGCCCTCTTCAAAACCGTGTTTCCACGGAGGGCGGCCCTACTCATCCATTCCCGCGGCTCCGCACCTCGCGGCCGCGCGCGCCCCCTCGGCGTCCGCGGGGCGCGCACGTCACTCGCCCGCTGCCAATCGGCGCCCAGAAGGTCACCTCTCCCCCGTGGGCCCCCAGCGCCGCCCCCTCCTGCAGGCCGCGGGACCGAGGCCGCAACGCCCGCCGGCCGCTTCTCCTCTCGGCGCAGGCGCGGCAGCTTGGCCGGAGAGCGGCGCGGTCTCAGAGGGGAGTGGACGCTGCTCGCGAGGATGGTGCTGGAGAGCGTGGCCCGTATCGTGAAGGTGCAGCTCCCCGCCTATCTAAAGCGGCTCCCTCTCCCCGAGAGCATTACCGGGTTCGCCCGTCTCACAGGTAACCCTCGCCTTCAGTCAGTCCCTGTCCTTGCAAGTTTCTCAAGGTGGGAGTCGGGGGTGGTCTAAACATCCTCGGGCTAAGGGACGGGGCGGGGCTTGGCGAGTGGCCCGTTACCCCGTGACCCTGCGCGCAGAGGGCGGGGGCGAGCGCTGGCGCAGCCGCCGTGGAGCGCGAGTGATTCCTCCTGTGGGTTCTTGGGGGCTTCCGTCCTTCCGTCCTTGTTCTGGTGGCTCTGCCGTGTTCTTCTGTGACGGGGGACCAGGGTTTTGCAGAGGAGGTGCTGAATTTGTGGCGGGCCCATATTTTTCATCTCCATCGGTCACTGCAGTGTGCTTTTTATTTTAAAGTCCTAGCTATCTAAGGTGCTGTGAATTAGGCATTTCCAGCTCTCGGCGCTGTTTTACCCACAGCTTGTGTGTGCGTGGGAGAGAAACAGGCACGCAATATGTGTATGGCAGTTTTATTTGGTAACAAAATTGGAGAGTAGCCTCCATTCCCATAGGGAAGACTTGAACTACCCCGGGGCATTTTAGGCCAACTCCGTTACTATGGGTCTGGAGGCAACTTGAGGAAAGATCAGTTAGCCAAAAGGGGTTCAAAGGCTAGTATGATGGACCAGATTTTAGAAAGTGAAATTTAATGAATATATATAACTTTCTGTACTTAGATCCCTCCTGTACAAGAAAAGAACCCACAATTCAGGATTTCACATCAAAAGGACGAAAATTTCTAGAATGCAGTCAACACTTGGGAGACATTGTTGGGAGTGTTACTTTGTAAGTGGAATATTTGTAAACCAGACTGAGACTGATCAGGGTGGTGAGAGAAAAAAACAAAAACCATATTGATTCGGCAAACTTTGAACTCATACGTCTTCAATGTCAGGGAATGAAACATGATTCATGAAGACAATTTTGAGATAGAGTTGTTTAGCCTGGAGCAGTCTGGAGTTTTATGGTAGCTGAAGGTTTACTGGTGGAAGAATAACATTTATTCTGTGTAGACCAAAAGACAGAACTAGGACCACATCAGTGAAGATTATTGGGAGATGAATTTCACCTCCTAATACAGGGAAGGTTTTTGTTTGGTTGTTTTTTAAGAGAATACTATCCCTAAAAAAGGATAGTATTAAAAAAATGAGGTAGTCCAGTAATAGATTTAGATGGGGTGAACTGGGTGACATTCCAAATCTAGAGATTGTTTGAATTACGGTTTGATCGGAAGCATTTTTTTTTTTTTTTTTTTTTTTTTTTTTTTTTTTTTTAGGTTTATTTCAAGGGGGAGAGGGAAGGGGAAAGAGAACCAGAAGCAGGATCCACACTGACCTTAGCCAGATGTGGGGTTTGAACTCACAAACTGTGAGATCATGACCTGAGCCAAAGTCGGATGCTTAACTGCTTAACCAACTGAAGCACCCAGGTGCCCCTGAAAGCATGTAATTAAATAGAAAGTATAGTAACCGAATAATTAACGGTTATTAAGAAGAAATATCTAAACATCGAAAGCCGCATAAAACTAACATAAAGTGAAAAAATGTGTGAAATCAAGTATTTATAAACATCAAAGTCTTCTTTTATCCTATTCTGATGGATTTTCGTCAGTTATATACAATTTTGGCTTTTTAAAACCCTTTATCATTGCTTTTACTGTAGAACTTTATATATTTTAACGTGTTCTTCATCTTCTAACAACTGTATAGTTTTCTTTTAGAGTAACATCATGGTAGGCTTAACCATTCCCCTGCAGTTGGAAATTTGGAATGTTTGCGTGTATATATATTTTATTTGTAATATTCAGTGGTTAAATAGCCCTATACCAATTGTTAGTTTTTCTCCTTTTATTATACCCTTGAATGCATTCACCAAAGTAGTAATAAAGAATATGATCATTTTGTGACATTTGGTTTTATATTAGTTTCAATTTTTTTGTGAATAGAATATAGTTGGAGCAGATAGAAAGTATGATGTTTTATTTAGTGGCTAGATTTTAGAAGTTTTCTTTGTTTTTATTTTTGCCTTAAAGATTTCCACTGTCAACAAATATTTAATTTCTATTAAAGGCATTAAGGAAACTCAAACCTTTTCCCCCTTAAATCAATAATACATAGTAACTTCTTCAAAGCTGTTAAATATTTAAAGTGAGGACTGATTCTCAGAAGTAGTGATAACTCTGATAAGTATCTTAAAAACATATATTTAAGTTCCATTACAATGTGTCTACACTTTAGTTCTCATTGTATTGTTTATTAGGAAACATTAACATGTTTGTAATAATTGCTCTATGAAAAATTGAGATATTCTGTTTCATACTGGATGGTGACAATATAATAGTTGCAGAATCTGTTTTGGAGCACTATGGAAGAAAATTTCCAATGACCAATTTCTGCTCTGAGTCTCCCCTTCAGAGTAGATTTTAGTAGCTAATTACATCTGTCTTGATTGAGCTACTTACAGAATCCATACTTAGACTTCTGTTGAGTCAAAAACCTGAAAGGTAACTTTTCAGCAATTGTTAAAATGTCTAGGAGACCAGGGGTGCCTTGGTGGCTTAGTCACTTGAGTGTCGGACTTCGGCTCAGGTCATAAGCTCACGATTGGTGGGTTCGAGCCCTACATCGGGCTCTGTGCTGACAGCTCTGAGCCTGGAGCCTGCTTGGGATTCTGTGTCTCCCTCTCTCTCTCTGACCCTCCCCACTCACACTCTCTCTCTCTCAAAAATAAATAAACATTAAAATAAAAAAAAAAAATGTCGAGGAGACCAAAAGTGTTTGCATTTTCTATCTGTGAAAACTAGAGCAAACAAAGTTACAGTTTATATTATTTTTGCCTGTTTTTTCTTCCCTATTTAGATCTAGTGGTTTTTTAAAGCAATAGACTGTCTCATGATGACTCTGCATTTTTAGTAAACACTTGGAGATCCTTAATCACCATACACTATTTACAGACAGTCCTTATCTATCAGAAACAACTTATCTATTTTTATTTAGGCCACATTTTAAACAGAGAGGCTTTTAAAGTAAGTTTGTATATTGCTTGGAAGTATAGTCTATTCCAATACTTTGACCTTTAAAAAAAACTTTCCCTGTTGTGTAAACTTTTAAAGCATGACAACAACAATAAAATCTTCCTATTCGAAAGTCAGAAACAGTTTGCTTCTGGATTTAAAAGCTTGCTATGAAACTTTGAACATATAGCTTTGCCCTTCTTGACCCTGTTTGGTTCTTTGAAAAATAATGGTTTTGCTCCTAAAGACAAGGCAATGACTCCCAAGACCATCATAATATTCTTTCCAGAGTAACACAAACATGTCAGAGCTGACAGCATCAAAAGCATTAGTTCTGTTTATCCAGAAAGGGCCACTTTTGAACAAAGAATTTAGAAGTGGAACAGAGTTGAAAACCTATATCCACAAGAACACTTCTACAAGCATGTTTTATAGTAGCCTTATTTATAATAGTTCCAAACTGGAAGCAACCCGAATATCTGACAACAGGAGAGTGGATAAACAAATTATAGTATACTCAAAGTGGAATACTGGTTAGCAATAAAAAGGAATGAATTACTGTTCCACTGGATGAATCTCAAAAACTTTTAAGTTGAGTGAAAAAGCTTTAGTGATAGACATCAGTGGTGGAAGGATAGACTACAAAGGGCAGAAGAATACTTTCTTGGGTGATGGAGGATTTTGCATGTTTTTACATATTTTCAGTAGAGGCTGCTGGGGTATATTTGTCACAACTGAGAGCTAAACACCTGAGATCTGTTTATTTTCTTGTATGTAAAATGTATCTCTTTTTTTTTTTTTTTTAAGAAATGAACCAAAGGTGAGGTTTCTCAGTAGGAATGTATAAGAAATAATAAAGTTCAAACTAGAAAGTTGCATTTATTAATAATAACGTAAATAATAAAAGTTATTTCTGAAAGATTAAAGAATTTTAGAAAACTGTTTTTGAGAATTTGGGAAGATATTTACATAGTTACTATAAGTTACAAAAGTTTTTTCCCCTCTTCCTAGTTAGACCAACTATATTTAAAAGTTAGTGTAATTAAAGATTTAAAGATTATACTAGGCTTTGTGGGGAACAATTTCAGCCTCATTAAAACATTTTCTGCCATCTAACTACCTTGCAGTGTAAATTTTCTCAGGTCATCAGGTATTTATTGAGGACTTGGTCCAGGAAATGTTCTGGACACTGAGACACTGTTCTATTCATAATAATGAATGTAAAAAAGATTTTTAAATTGATCATTAATTTCATTCTATTGGATTTTGGTCCTGAACAGTCTGTATTAGGTTTTAAGTGGTAATAGTAAAACCATCCATTGAAAAGATTTTACTTTTCTCTTTTTACAGTCCAGAAATAGAAATCATTTCTGTGTCTTAACCTATAAACGGTACACAAGAAAATCTGTTATTAAAGTATCAGCAGCCAAGTTGCCAATATTATTTTTATAGTATCATTACATGCCACATTTTGAAAAGGGAAAAAATTCTGTCCTAGTTTCTTAGAATATAATTCCTCATCGAGAGCCATGTGTATCTATATTGTACTTTTACAAATGTTTTTTATCATAGTATTTGATTATATATCTTGGTCAGGAATAGGGTGTAATAGGTAGCCTTTTTTTTTTTTTTAAAGTTTATTTTCAGAGAGAGTGTATGCAAGTGGGGGAGGGGCACAGAGAGAGGGAGAGAGAGAATCTTAAGCAGGCTCAATTCCCAGCGCGGAGCCCTACATGGGGTTCAGTCTCAGGACAGCAAGATCATGACCTGAGCCGAAATCAACAGTCTGATGCTTAACCAGCTGAGCCACCCAGGAGCCCCTGTAGCCTGTCTTGAATCTGCCCTGTCTTAAGCCACATTCTGTTTCTCTAAGGAGATACTATACCTTCTTTTAACAGCATTTAAACTTAAAAAAAATTTATGTTAAAATTGCTACTCAGGTTGCTTTGAAATGTTCTTTTCTGTGTACGTTTTGTTTGTCTGATGGTACTGGT